AGGGACAGTTGCGAAATCAAAATGGCTACGTTGAACTAGAATTCAGTAAGTTGACAAATTTTATGTGGCAGTAGCATGGGTAATCACTATGCCAATTAGTGACCGTGGCTGGTCAGGCTAGCCATCACGCAACCCTCTAGACACTAACCTAAATAACTTTTTGCGTGCACGCTAAGTTGAGGCAATAGACTAGGCTAACACACGTGTCTGTTTTACGTCATGTGTACGTATTGTTTTTATCTGATGTCTGGAAACAGCATTACAGAGTAGCTGAGTGCTGTATACGTTCTGAAGTATATTACTACTAAACCGATGAAATAATTTGGACTGGACAAAAGATATTAATGTTTTTCATTATAATTATATTATAATACTGTACTTTTGAACATGCTAACGAAGGTCATATTAACATCTTAATCAGCTTATAATGCGGGCCATATACTGACACTTTATTAACTGACATGCTGCAACTCCGGCAAGTACATGTATAATGAATATTGTTAGGTGGTGTTTGGCGGCTCTTCGTACAAACATCATTATTGGAATAAAACAAATCGAGGCTGACATTATCGAGCTGACAAACACACTCGGAAGTTGTTGAAGCCTGCCGTGTGCGTGTGCAATCCTGTTGACTCAGATTATTTTAGTTTCTAGGAAGAGACTCGTGTAATATTATTGTTTGTTTTCGTCTGTCGGTTTTTAAATAACGTTTCATAAACGTCACAGTAACATTGATTGTAAACCGTTATTATCAAGCACTCGATGAAGGCCGTATACACACAGTTGGCTCCAGCCTCCACTCCCGCATTGATATTCCTCTATCTCCCTGAAGTGTGAATTCGAAGCATTCACTAGTGAGCGAGGGTGAGAGGGGATGGGGTGTCAGAGTAGGTGTCTTTCTGCGGGGCGAGGATGGAAGTTGTGTATCAGATGAGACACAACGCTTTGACACTACCGACGGGGTTTCCTCATCTGAGAATAATCATCTCGCACTAGTCCAGTGGTTCTCAACCTTGTTTGCCCCATGCACCCCTTTCACCATATGTCAGAATGTCATTCTCCCCTCCTTTCCAAGATTGTCTGCCTCAAAAAGTGCATTCCAAATAATATGCATATAATACTGAAAATCCTTTATTTTTTCCATATTAGTACGTATACATTTACAATTTTACATGGATTATTTTTATAGTGGAGTTTTACAAATTAAATGCCAATTGAAAATGTTGATGGATTTATAAAACTTGAATAACAGAAAATAGTTTTTTATATTTATAATGAATTACTTAACAGACCAAACTGAAGCATAATGCAATAAACAAAAAGTTCAATAGAATACCAGGATATTGTAAATTTGTAATTAATTTTATTCAGATGAAGATTACAGTCAATGAGAAACCTGTGATTGTTTTTTCTTCGCCAATTCTGGGATACGCGGAGGAGTGCTTGAAAGGGCACAACGCAGGTCATTTTCTACCTCTAATCTACTACGTTGCTTCGTTTTAATTTGCAACAGAGTTGAAAAGCCTGACTCACAAAGATATGTCGACACAAACGGAAGCAATGCACGGATAGCTCTTTCTGCCACTTTTGGGTAGGAATCGCACATCAAGGGCCAAAATTCTGTGATTGATTTCTCATCGAACATATCTCTTGCTCCCGAATCAGTTTCCCTGAAAACCTGAATTCCCCCCCTGGGGGTAATTCCCCCCTGGTTGAGAAGCCCTGCACTAGCCAGATGAAAATACTTAAGTTACAATAGGATGAGAGGGGGATGAATTAATGTTCTAAGTAAGGTGGTCCTTTGCAAACGGGGGCATTTATGAGCAAATGGATATGTTTGTGTGAATCTTTTTCTTGTAAAATCAGCGAAGTTTGTTTAACCCCTTGACGGCACCTGGAGCAGGTTCAGATACATTCAGGAGCCGGTGCATGCCCAATACTTGTCAACAATGCGTAACAGAGTCATGACCGATCGCCCAAGCGGCTAACGAGCCGATCAGTGGTGAAGATAAATAATAATAATAATAATAATAATAATAATAATAATAAAGTAAAAGTTGACTGTGAGCTGAAACTTCCCCAGCTGAATAAATTTGTCTGGCTGTAACCAGAATAAAATAAGACCGTACAGAATTAATTAATTAGCAATCAAAACAACCGGGAAGTGCGTACCATATTTATTATAATAAAAACGATGTGAACAAAGCTAGTTCAGTTGGCAGCAATACGGTATAGAATTTGCAAACCACATAGTTCAGTTATGCCAAACTGAGGCACAAGTGAGATGTTTATAAACTTCACTTAAGTCACCCCTTGCCCGCGTATAGTATACAGTACTGAAAGCTAGGCAACTGAAGGCGTTCTAATCTCTGGGTAACTGAGGTGTAGTAGTGCAGGCACCAGTCTGGTGGCCCTCCTTTGGACTTTTCCAATCGTCTCTAGCATATCTCGGGGAGACGGGGACCAAACGGGGTGACAGTACTGTGCTCCTGTAGGGTTATGAGATATTGGTTCACACTTAGGATGGGATGGAGAAAGGAAACTCACAATGTGCTCACTGTATACATAGTGTATTGGATGTACAATGCAGCTTGTTGCTGGGTAGGTAGCATGGTAATAAGCGTTGAGTAGAGAGAGCTGGGTGGTGAGGGTGCCCAGAGTGAGGGCACGCGGCTTCAGGGACGCCAAGGTCGCTGGCGGGAGTGGCAGCCGCATGGCTGGCGCGGGGGAGGTGTTGCTTGCTGGTGGCACTGAGTAGAAAGAGAGGGTGGTCACAGCGGTGTCAGGCCTTATAAGGCGGGGGTAGGCGTGGGTAGATAGTTGACCCCCGCTCCGTGGGCGGCGCTGGAGGTTGGCAGAGTTGCGTGCCACATGTGAGGCAGAACGGGCGGTGCATGCCACATGTGGGACATAACGGCGAGGGCGTGGATGAGCCGGCCGCTAGGGGGGGGGGGGGCAACTCTGTCTAGATACGCGAGATCTGTGGGAGAAAAGAGGAAGAAGGAAGGTTGTAGAGGCGATGAATGTTGTGCTTCCCTCGCGACAGGTACAGAGTCCTCAGATGCGCCTGCTGGGGTGTGTGGGCCTGGGTCAGGAGCAGGGGCTGCGTCAGGAAGAGTGTCCATGACAGCAGCAGGGTGCATGACAGCAGCAGGGTCCACGACAGCAGCAGGGTGCAGGACAGTAGCAGGGGGTACCTGAGGGAGAAAAGAGGGGTGTGTGTGTGTCCGCGTCCGGAGCAGGGGCCGCGTCAGGAGGAGCGGCAGGGAGTACTGCTGGGCCGGGGGCGGCGTCTGAGGCAGAACGGGTGTGTTGGGTTCGGTAGGACGTGGTGCTTGGGGAAGCACCTCATTCTTTAAGAGCGTTACTGGCTCTCAATCTCTAATTATAGCTTTCTCTACCACCTAAAAAAATAATTATGCAGCATGTGTCTATTTCTGTTATTTTGTTAGGAACCTTCTTAGTTTGCATGTTGTCGGATGCAAGTGACAATGTATCAACAGATTTTCAAAATTCTGACCCCTCACTCTGCAGCTGTCCATGTTATGAGGTCGAGTGATTTTCCTTCACACCTAGGGCTCCCTTTACAGTTGCGTTATTTTGGTCATGAGTTTGATCTCTTTGAAATTGAATTGAAAATTGAGAACCTGTAAATATCGTGAATAATTGTGTTGCGTACAGTCAGTGGACTGCTGGTTGGGTTAAAGATTATACTGGTTGTGTTGAAGGGAATGGCTCGTATAGTGTTGCCAATTGAGTTATCACATTTTTGGTTTTAAAGTATGAGATTTATGAGCTGTTTGATGTATTGCGTGGTTAACTGTATGTACATTTGACATTATTCAGATCAGCCACGACAGCTGTTAAGGCTTTTATGGTAACTAATATAGCAACAGGAAGATGGTTTCTGTACAGTGGGCACGAATAGGAGATACAGTACTGTATTTCTGTATTGTTTTGCTGAAAATCGTGACGCCTCCTGGGCGAGAATTTACTAGTGCCCATGCGATGAATAATCGTCGTAACTGAAGATGTGAGAATGCTTCTAATGTACTATATAATAGCTTAGGTAATGCACATAAATAAAATAACGTCCTATATAATATAAAAATTACACTGAGACTAACAAGCTATGTTCACTTTATAGCCACTGTTAGAAGATTAGACTAAAACATTGATAATCTTTCACAAATAGTTGGGTACATTCTTGTTTCTTTAGTTGCGGATAATTTTCAGCTTACGAACCTTTTCTTAACCTGAACATTTTCCAGTTTATCTTGTTTGGGTTTACTGTTGTATCGCAACACGAACCTTTAAATGAAATTTGTTCCTCAAATATTCACCAATAGGAACGGCCGTCATGTTTGTAAACACGTGACGTCACAGATATTGTGGTAACACGCGGTGGGTCAGGCAGGCAGTGAACGACTTACTGGAGATGTCGTTAAATTTCTTCAACGTATTGTGCAGGTTTGAGCTGTCAAGCAGACGAGATACACCAACAAGTTGAGAATTGAAGGCTAATTTATTTCTGACCCGTGTGCTATCAAGGAATGTACGAGCTATGACCAAAAAGTATGGCGTGATGCTACGTCTGGCAGTGTATACTGTATGTATATTTAATTTTTTTATTTTTTTTATGGGGATTAACCCACCCGAGCACAGGTCACTGACCCACATCAGGACCTGGGGGGCGAAAATGTAATAATAATAATTCATATTAAATAAAATTTATAATAAAAATACAAAATTAAAATAAAATAATAATAGTAAATAAATTTATAATGAAAAAAGTAATGATAATAATAATAATAACACTAATAATAATAATAATAATGATAAAGAACCATAAAGAAATGCAAAAAATACAATAGTGAGAAACAATATATGTATGTTGTGTTGTCAAAGTAAGAGAAACAATTGAGACCCTGCAATTGTGTGCAAATGAGGCAGAAAGTCAGTTCAGCAACCTGGGACTTGGTCACCATGGCAGCAGGGTCTACCATTAGACAACACATTATGCTTCCAATATCTTCCCAGGCGGTAGTACCTCCCTGTTTGGTAGCTGCCTATCTACCTTATTGACAGTCAATATGCCAAACACTTCAGTAAGGCATTTGAGGCACTCGATGCTTACAAGTATGTTTTAACTTGTTTATTATTATTTTTTCCGAGCAGTTTAATTTCATCCTTAAAATAGTTAAAGGTACCGGGTGTACCTCTTTTTTTTTTAGTGTTCATAAATTCTACTGTATATTTGTCAGTGTTTTCCATTTTCTATTACTTGTATGGCAACTCATAACCAACGTAACCTAATGTGGTTACGATGTGGTTACGATTGGTTTAGTTGAAGAGAAAATAGTAATTTATGAGGAAACCTCTACCACTAGAAGGAAGTGGGTGTTACTATAGTAAGCTGTCCACTCGGCTGGAGTTGATCTACCGGGATATTTACACTGTAGAATCTATTAACCTAACGTAACCTAACCTGACTTAACTTAACCTAACCTAACTTAACTAACTTAACCTAACCTAAGCTTAACCTTACCTAGGATGCTACAGTGTAAATATCCCGGTAGACAACTCCTGCTTGGTAGACTGCATACTATAGTAGTACCAGGGGCTGTTAGATTTTGTTACTTTTCCCACAGATGTTCTTTGGATGAAAGTAAGGGTAAATATTTAGTAGTTGCCAACACATATACAATAAAATATATTGAATTTTACGTAGGGAGAAAGAGAAAACGTTTGTATAGCATTTCGTCAGAAATGTATAATTTTTGAGGGAAAATGTGGGTTGGTTAGGTTAGGTTCTATTAGGTTCTTGTAAATGTTGTTTGGTTCAAAGTATTTACTACTGTATAATGATAAGAACTTATTGTGAAAAAAACAAAAAACTGTTCTGGTAGTAGCTGTGTACTAAGACTGCTAGTAAGCTGATAAGTGGCTATAATAATATTAAAATAAAAAAGGCCGGATCACCTGAAGATTCTCCATCCCAGCTTATGTCACCTAAAGATTAACTACCCTAAAACTATTTTTTGGAGGAGAGGGCAGTTAATATTTAGGTGAAATAAACTGGAGTGGAGGTTTCTCAGGTGATCCCTATGACCCTCTTCCCCTGGAAAACAATGTAGAGTACGTTTTGCACTTATGACAAATACAAGATTCAGTGGACTTTACCAAAGCAGAATTACCCACCTTAGCCAAACTATAATGGACATACAGTATTTTTCTCAATTTTGTTAGACAGTTGATGCACTTACGCTACACCACCCATGACCAGGCTCTCAAGACCTAATACTGTATTGAATTGAATTGAGACAGTTTATTTAGCCAGAAAAACACAGATACAGAGTGGATAATAATAACAATATTAACATGGCTGAGCCAGTTGAGAACCTGAGCTCTCTTTGAGGTACAACACACGTACATAACCAAGCCTGTTTGGGGACCAATAGTTATGATTTAATATTGTTGCAGGTACTCCATGTCCTGAGTGGGCATGTATAACAAGCTCTTACCTTACTCGTGCTGCATACAAACCTGCATTCACCATCTTCAAGGCTGAAGTTATGGCTAAATAATAAATCTCATTTGCCATGGGCAATTGTGTCTTCTGATGACTCAGTCTTATGTGCCCACTGTATGTAGTACTAATTACAGTGTATGGCTGGCCTGGGCCAAGTCTGCAGCTGTGCTTTGTTTCAAAGTGGAAATGTGTGTGTGTGTGTGTTGGTCTGACTAATGTCGTCTGTTAGCGAGTTTTGTTAGTGGAACTGTGAATTTAGACAGCTTGTTGATCCTTCTCCTGTGAGTTTATCAGATTTAATTTGAGGTAAGAGGCTACTCTACTGTACTGTACCCCAGATGTTCTATTACTGAAGTGCTGCTTCTTCTCTCCCTCAGCCCTTGTTATCTCCTGGGGTTGTTATTGTCTTCTTATTTTTCGATCTCTGGGATCTTGTACAAGATCCCAAACTAGGGGCTGGTGTAGAGGAATTTAAGATGTTTGGGCCACTGGTGTAGTGAGGCAGTACATTACAGTACAGTGCCGTAGTGGTCAACAGAGTTAAACCTGAGTGTGAGACATATTTTCGGTGAGTGATCTCTGGATCATAATTATACCCTTTCAGTGGATAAACTCTTTATCAATATATTACAACTCCTCCTCCTACAGATTTTTTGTGTAAGTAAATTCCAACTCCCTGTCTCCAGTTCCCACTTTATTATTTCATAAATCTCTGTCTTCAGATATTATAAGAAAACGATCGCATTTCCACAGTTTGAAGTGACGGAAATATGCTAAAAAAGATTTCATGGAATAAAAAAAAAATTCTCCCCAAATCGTGTTTCCATGAATGAAAGTTATGGCAGTTATCAAAAAATTATTTATTATCTTTTCTTTCAGTGTATACTAGATCAGTGGTAACACAAGTAGCAACAGAGCTAAAGAAACAACAACAGGTACATCCATACTAACACCAGTAGCAGGAAGACCATGAGGATGATTGTGTCACAGTGGACGAGCACAATGGTGGTGGTGCTGGCGGTGGTGTCTTCTACGGCAGCTATTAAGTGCTTCACTTGCTCCGACTGTGGTGACAGCGCTGGCACCCTCCAGGAGTGCTCCTCCAGCTCCGACGTCTGCATGGTCAGCAACTCTTGACTTGCGTTTACTTTTCAGGAGTAAGGGGTTGTCTCAGAGGCTCAAAAGTTTGTTTTATACTATTTTCTGGGACGTTTTGTGTGTGTGTGAGAGCAAGACATTTATAGTGTCAGTGGGCCCTCATAATAATGTTATGTCATCTTTGAACCTCTGTACTTAAAAAAAAAGTAAGTTCAGAGCAATGAGGCTGACAAAGAGATAAAATAAGGTTGAAGATATAAGGACCAGTACTAGGAGAAGGGATGAAGAATGGGGCTGGGGAAAATAATGCAGTACTAATAACAGGGCTAAGAAGATGTTCATTTAATACTACATTACATTGTGCACGGACAGGATGACCTCACCCTCGACCAACTTATTTGGCTATTATTTCCTCTCGGACATCTTGAGTAGGAAACTTGTTATGTCATAATGAGCTTAAAGTTCAGTTTATTATTTTTAAGAGAACAAATACTAAAAGGACCAAGAATGAATTAAGATGGAATGCATGGTAACTAGCATGTGCCTTCCTGATGGGGGCGTAGCCAGCTTTTTTTAATGTGTTAGCACTTATGTGTGGTTGTGCCACACATAAGTGCCAACAAATCTGTGAAATATATCTTATTAATTAGATTATTTATACTGTACATTATCTTATTATGGATGTAGCATTTGCCCCCACCCATATACAGGTACTGTATATAACAAATATTGTATATATAATTTACCTAAATTTCCAATACTGTACTGGTGTGCACTGTCTGGCTCATCACTCAGCAATGTATGATGTCTCCAGTCCTCTGACTCTCTCTCGCTACAAGCTTCTCCTCTCAGCCGCCAGCTGTTGTCCACTGGACTTAACCGGTTCCTGCTCCCGGCTCACTGATTGGACGGTCAACACTCGTGCCACCGACTGACATCTCAAATATTATTTGCTTGGAAATAATTGATTTTCCACTAAGATTTCATAAATAATGTTTTTTTTCAATAGCAATGTGTAAGCACGAACTTTTTTGCTTGCACCTAGCTATGCCCCTGACTGAGGGTTAGGTCAGGTGAGGTTAGGTTGGATTAGCTTAATTTTGCTCTTTAAATTGAATAGAATTTCTTAAGTGAATTTTCTCATTTAAAAATTTTAGGCTGTCAAAATATATTCGTGTTTATTGGTTACTAGACTGGTTAAGCAGGACCTTACTGTGCGTCTTGTGTGTTTTTATACATTAAGGTTTTATGATACAGTATATATATATCACATGTTCTATTATTTGATGATATTGATACTTCAGAAAATTGAAGCTGCTGGACACACGAAGAAATCATGCGTAAACAAGGCTGTCTGCAGCTTGGGAACAGTTGAACATGGAGTTGTGAATGCATGGAACAACTTTAAGAACTGGATAAGCGATTTTAATCAAGGTAAATATATACACTATGACAAACATATCTCAAGATAGCTACTAGTAATGTGAAGTCATCAGAAACTTGAGAAAAGTTGGAAAAAACTGTATACTGTATGTACAGGTATAGTAGTATTATAGTAGGGTTCTGAAAACTAGATCTGCATCACACTTAATATTCCTACACATTTTTTTGCAACTACCGTATATAAAAATCATCAGACACTTAAAGATCAATTCTTAATGAAAAAAATTCTGTCATTCTTATAGTCTATATTATTACATCTTGAGTTACTGCCTTCAAGTATCCAGGACTTGAGTTTTACTTTAGACTCCTTAGACCCAACATAGAGTATAACTTTTTTTTTTTCTTCTGGTGAATAGCCCACCCAGGCACAGGTCATGGACCCATAACGGGGCCTTCCCTAATTTTGATTATGCACATGATCACTACTCTCATATTTTCATCATTTTCCTTACTGCTCCAAGGTATTAAGATCCATTTACTTACCCTCAAGTATCAGGAATCTGAAATGCTTGGGACCAAAAGGTAGAATGACATCAAACAGCAGTGGTTTTATAGTGCAGTGTAAACAAGGAGACAATACAGTACTGTAATGAAGGATGTTTTGTGCTCATGTCCTCTCTCATGGATTGTGGGAAACACTGAAGACAGAATAGTGTAATATATTACTAATGCTACCTTCATTTATTTTCTGATAATTAGTAAATTAATCATGCTCGGACAGTGTTGTACTAGTCAGCAGTACATTACACCCTCGTTTTTCACTGATTTTTTATGTATGGTTTCAACTATTCATGGATTTTCATCAGAAATATATTTTCATTACAACAAGTATAACTGATTCTGTATGTGGTTGAATTGCGCATGCGTATGAATTTCCGCAAGAAACCGCCAGGCGTCACTACCTCAGAGTGCAGCTTCCCACCCACTCCTTTGGGAGTAGCATAACATAGGTCTGCTCATAACAATGAACTGAGTAAGGGTGCCTGTGACCTGCCTCGTGTGGGTATTCAGTCACGTCATCACTTACTCCCACAAGGTCTCGCACATCCAAACTGCTAGTGGAGTCAATGTGCACTTGCACTGTTTGTGTGAACTCTGCACATGCAACCTGGCTACTTGCAGAATTGCAAATTTTTGTGACACAAAGCTAGAGACTTGTAGAAATAGAGTTTTTGCCTAAATTGAAATTGCATTAAGCAGGAGCCACTTGTACAATCTGTATTGTATTTCTCTTCATATACAAGCTATCTCGCCCTGTTTTAGAACTATTTTTCCTCTTTATCGGTGAAAAAACCCAGCAAAAACTTGTTTTATGTTAGATTCTTATTATCAGTACTGTACTGTATAACATAAGCATAATCTCCTTTTTGCATCCTGTGTATTGAATATAAAAGTGGTGAGTAGTGGTGAAGTAATGTTCTCTATACAAGTAATTACTGTACAGGGCTGTATTTTATTGTTCAGTTCTGATTCCTGGCTAACAATTTTTCTGTTTGTGGCAGACATTGAGATTTCAGATGAAGCAGTGGCAAAGATGATAGAGTGTTGTGATGACAACTATTGCAACTCTTCTGTCTCCAAGCTGATGAACCCTCTCTTCCTCCTCCTGCCTCTCCTTACGTGCCTGTTTTGGCACTAAAGGCTCACCTTGAGTAGACTTAGTAAGATTGCTGTATTGTATTTTGCATGCTATTTTGTTTCTGGTATTTGCTATCCAACTTGTGGTAAACTCCATTCATATCAGACTAAATGTTTACTGTATAGGTGAAAATTGAACTAGACATGTATAGGGGAAACTATAAACCATATATAGTTGGGTTGAACCTCTTTAATCCGACAGCCTTGGGACCCGGGCAGAGTCAAACGTTAGAATTTACCAATTTATGGGAGTTTCGTCAAAGCTGTCGAGAAGACTTACTTCGAGAACCACAGTACAGATACCACCTTCTCTCTTGCATATCTTAGATACTATTGGCTAATAATAAAAAACATATAAAAAGTAAAGATAAAAGAAAAGTACAGTTTTATTATTTACTTACCTGTGTGTTCCTCCTGCAACCTAGCACAGTTCTTTGCTTTTTTATGTCTGGTAGCTGCTTCTTCAGCTTCTGTTGCTAACAGTTTCCTTGACATAGAGCACCAAAACAATGTACTTCAGTCAATGCTGTGAGTATTTTATCAGTGGCCAATTTCTGATTCATAGTTCACAAAATAAGATCATCCATGTGTTTGACAGCTGAATCCCAGCCACAGACACAGTACAAAATTGATGCCACTTTGCTTCTTAACCACTTGTGTACAGGGTTCCCTCTCTGCTGAATAAAATCTTCTGGGGGTAAGACATAAAGTTGCATCCCATAGTGAAGGGGTTGAACTTATGAAGCTAACCTTGAGAATATTCACTCAAAGCTATGGAATAACTTCACTTGCTCCATCAACATTTGCTTGTTTAAGGAACAGCTTCACTGTACTGTAGTTAACCTAAACCACTGCATCGGGGCGTATTCTTAATATTCTTACACGTAAGCATATAAGCTAAGTACAGGTTCATTTTGTAAAATCCAGTTTTAAGGAACTCCACTCTCATAGTAATTCTTATTAAAATTTTGACTGTAATGTACTGGATTCCAATAGAGGAAAAGATTATTCCTGTTCACTGTGAATTTAGACCCAAGTCCTTGGCTGTCGGTCACCAGTCCGTACTGCCATATCTTGGTGTCAGAGTCGAGCCCTTGGCGTAAACTGTGGCGTTCCTCTGCTGACACCTGCCTTGGCCTCCTCCTCAGTAATTAAATCGGTGTTTTCAGTTATATAAGTTACTTAGTGGACTTTAAAGCATCAAGTATGGTATGTTCATGTATTTTATGTATTAAACCTGTACTACATAAATAAAGAACAAAGAACAATTGATACATTTTTATTTTTTCCTATACCCTTTACAATTTGCTTAATTATGAGTGCAAATCACACAATCTCCTTTCTAAAGTTCCCTTGTTAACTTCTGCAATAATTCAACTTTTTCTTGAATAGACAGTGAATGATGTTTGCACTTTGCTGCACCACCATGAAGAGGACTGCTTGTTGATGCCATATTTATAAGTAGATTGGTGACGATTGCTGTGGCTTCTGGAAACACTTGTAGCAGGAAGACTGATGAGGCGGTGACCCCAACCATGCTGAGTGACTGGTCCAAAGGCTTCCTGTGTCAGTCATTGGTTACTGTGTATGATTTCCATAACCCCTTAACTATGGGGGCTCGTAGACACAAGTTAAAAGTGTCCGGGTCATGGAAGTCTGGATTAGGGAGGTTCAACCTGAATTGATAAATAGAAAGTTAGGAAAAACACTGAGTATACTCTATAAGGCTAAATTACAGAGACTTATTAAGATACAAATTAAGATTTTTAGGAATACAGTACTTTATCATTGTTTAAAGCAGGTTAAGTGTATGGGGTGAAAAGAAACAGGATGATGAAATTAAGTAGAGATAAACATAAGAACTGTACTGTATACCTAAGGATGAAGTACTGGGTATGTTACATTAGTAAGACAAGAAAACAATGATAAAAATGCAAGAGTGTGTATGAAAAAGTTGGTAAGACATGTGGTGTAATGGACAGCATCCTCGCCTCACAAGCGAGCGGACCAGAGTTTCATCCTCGGGTAGGGTGAAACTTTGGGCATGTTTCTTTATGCCATTTGCCTCTGTCTACCTAGCAGTAATTGGGAACCTGGATGTTAATCGATTTGCGGATCGTAGTCTGGGGTAATGGTTAGCCAGTGCAGTTGGCGAGTTGTCCGGTCTTCTTGGATTATTCCTTGACACTGGGTCATGCAGCTCGTTAACTCTGGTGTGGTTGTTGTGTTGGCAACAGCTTCTACACCTTAAACAAATTCACGCCTCAATTTTGAAGGGAACCATTATTATATTATTATTAAGACCTACAGTATTGACATAAGAATACAAGACCAAGAATGAGGCATCACAGCAGAGGACACAGACCATTGACAAGATGCTGACATTAACATATTAAAAGTTGATCAACACAAGGGTCAGTGTGTTGACCTGGTTCATTGGTCCCTCGGCTTTACATTGTTCACATTGATACAAATACTTAATGACAATCTGTATAAAGCAAAGTAGAATTCTCCTTGTCACTGCCCTTAAGCTTTACACCCTTGTACAGTATGGGAATAATTGAACACTGCTTGTTGATTTGAGTTTCAATATTTAGTTTTGAGATTTATTTTGTCTCTTATATTTTTCAACAGATTTCGATTTTCCAGAAAAAACTGATGCCCAGTTAATTTACTGCTGTGACAGGAACTACTGCAACTCAGCCACATCACAGTTGGTCAGCCATCTTCTTCTTATAATGTCGGTAATATTTATTTTTTATGGGTGAAAGTGTCCCCACTCCACTGAGCTAGTTAGATTGAAAAGGAATGACAGTATTGTTTGCACCACTTTACTTTGTATATTATGTGTACTGTATTTAAGTTTACAAGTACAGTACTGTACTGTACTGGAAAGTATTGTACTGTATTGGTGTCATGGTTACTGTTTCCCATGTAATTGACATCAGTTTTTTTAAGTACTGTATATAAGTTGTTGGCAGAAGTGTCAATATAGAATTAATGGATATTAATTTATAATTTTTATATTGTATTCCTTTGAAATATTTAGATGTTCATCTTTATATTTTCCACTTGACATTGAATTAACATTTGTGTATATGATAAGTACAGTACAATACTGGCAAATACACACAGTCATCATAGCCACATACTTAGTGTTATCTGCCTTTTATAATGCAGGAAGTTGACATTATCAGGGCTTTTTAAGTTACAAATACTAAAAGTGTCTTGGTTCAAATTCCTAAGCAGTAAGAGTATTGTTATAAACTCGTCCTGCACTGTTAATGTACACTCGCTCCAAGAGGTGTCTTTATGGAAGGGTCCGATGAAATTCAAAGTGAACACCGAGACTATTGCTGTCTCGGTAGGGTTGTAAAAATCCTTCGAACGTTATCTCACATAATATCGTAAAGATACATTTTGGAGTGAGTGTAGTACAGTACAGTGATATATACAGTATAGTAATTATGGATAAAATATAGATGTAAAAAAAAAGATTGAAACTTCATAAATATTATTATTCACATCCATGAGAATACATTCCAGTCATATTAACCTGTCAAATATTGTATAGTTCTATAAAATATTTGTCCATAGCTAAAAATTATTAGTGTGTACAGTACTCGCTCCTGAAGGTATCTTTACGGAGGGTTCGATGAATTTCAAAATGAACACTGACGCTTGCTGTTTCGGTAGAGGTCAAAATCCTTCATCCGTTGTCATATTGTCTCACACAAAATTGTAAAGATACTTTTTGGAGTGAGTTACAATATAGTATTATATCTAAATTCAGAATTTCCGAGATCAAAGCTGTCATAACACCTCTACTGCAGTAACATATTTTTAAAAGTTTATATTGACTTATTGTTAAGTTTATACTTTACAATAAAAGTTTTGTCAGTGATGAATGAATCTCTTAATATTACTTTGAGTATGAGAAACAACATAAACAGTATTTGTAGAAGTAAGTCTTTTTATTCAACAATTTAAAGGTACAGTATTAGTGGAGTTTTGTCAGTTCTAGAGCAGACTTTGTTAACTTTCATCATTAATGGTCTACTTTAGGTGAAGTTTGCTAACAATTTAAAATTTTGAAGAAGAGAGATTAATAAATGTTCTTTTTACTGTACTGTAAATTCTGTATCATCTAACTTGGGTTGTTATCTGGCATACGAGTACCTGTAGTGGTGTGTAAATATATGTTCAGTATGTACAGTCTCGTTCAAGATTCTTTGAACACTGCTGGAGACAGCTGGCAACTCAAGGCTGTTTATTTACTATATATGAGGGGAGCTACACAGGCTCAGATCTAGACTTAATCTAATCGATGTAATTTTTCTACTTACACCACTGCTGACTGCCTGTTCCAGTTGAGGTATTCTTCAATACTTTAGGTCTTGGTAATATTTGGTTTTATCTACTGTATTGTCACAGTACTGTATTGAGAGGACTGTGATGCCATAATGGATCATTTACAATACAGTTGTAATCTGATATGAAATGCCTGGTTGGTCCTACTACTGGAGGTCTTGGCTGTACTAGTAATACATTCTTTGACTATCATGGTATATGAGTGTACTGTACCAAACGAAAGCCTGAAAGTTAAACTGAATGGGTATGAATACTATAATGGCAAATGTCCTTGGTAGACTGGTAATGTTCTCTATGACTTTAAACAATTGTGGTGGTTAATGGAACAAAATCATCATAGGTATGGTATGTGCCCCATAAGGCAGTGTGCCAAGTTTCTTGTTATTTGGTATTCTCTCATCCATATAAATTCTGTACAGTACAGTGTATTTGCCAATGGCTCTAAATTATTTAGGAAAATAACAAATCCAATTACGGTACTGTGCCGTTAAATGTGAAGACTTAAAGTGTGATCTCTTTCCAGCTTCTCATACAGTACTCTTGTTTTAACTCACTCACTCATTTTAATTTGGTGTGTTATGTTTTAAGAAGGTAATGGCTAGTAAGTTGTAGAGAGGCCCCCCCAAAAAAATAATAATAAAATAAAAATATGTCTTACTTATGTCAGAGAAGCCTTGATAAATCATGTTAACAATGGATGTGGCCAGATGCTTCCAGGCCACAGTCATCAGTCTTGACACATTTCTTTACCTCACCAGCAGAATATACTGTACAACCTTCTGTAATATAAAGTCTAATGTTGCATTTTCCACATGATAATGAAAATTGAATATTCAAGGTGACTTCATCAGGTATGAAATATCAGACAAGAACTGACTAAAAAAGCTTTATACAGTACAGTATAAGGTAGTGTACTGTACAGCACTGTGGTACCATATAAACTTGGGCAGTGAATCATTGTGCACTGCCCTGGTTGTTCTTATCACATTTTCTGGCTACGGTGTTAGAAATCATAATTAAAATGATATCTTTACACTTTAGTTAGTAAGTGCAGTGCCAACCACACTGCTTCCTTGCAATCTGAACGGTTCGGTATACTGTACACTGTATCACACACTGTCCCTAACATACAGTTATACCTATGGGATACACATTTTTACTTCAGCTGAAGACAGTACTGTATACTATATCTTGCCCAAGACAAAAGTGGTATCTAAGACCTTTCAAAATTTTTATATGCACTAAGTTATCAGAAGTTTATACCTGTATAAGTGATTTTATAAGAAAAACACAGCCAGACACATACACATGCAGTATGTACAAAGTAAAACACATATGGTTCTACATTTTGAAAGTTTCACTATATATTAAATACAAAATAATGTTCTATATAAATATGTAACAAAGAATGCAGTACAGTACACTGAACTGCAGACCAAAACTCACCTGACAGATGGCAGCCTTCTGTTGGCAAAACTCTAAAGCACCTACTGCAGAGGACACCACCAACCCTGCAAATAACACCTCCCATCCATGCATGCAGCTGTTGATAAGTTCTGTTATTTGTGAGGGTGGGGGCAGTAGGTGCTACTGGGGGATAGTAAGTGTTGCTGTTATTTGTGCTGCTGAGAGATGATGGTTGTCGCTGTTATTCGTGCTTCTGGGAGATGATGGTTGTCGCTGTTATTCGTGCTTCTGGGAGATGATGGTTGTCGCTGTTGTTTATGCTGCTGGGAGATGGTTGTTGCTGTTATTACTGTAGTGAAGAGCCCAATGCTGCTGATAATATTGCTGGGAGATGATGGTCACATTTTACAAGGGGATGGATGCTGCTGAGAGATGAAGACTGCTGCTAGGAGACGGTGGAGGTTGCTGCTGCTGTTCTTCTAGAGTGGAG